TAATCCATGTTTCTATGTAATGAAATATGTGTTTTATGCAAATGTGGAATATGGGGTGTTACATGATTATAACAATTTAGGTTTTCAATGCCATATTCACAATTATTTCTATTTTGTTTGTGTGAAACTTGTTCAAGAGATGTTTTGATGTTGAAATTTTGTATTTTTATCGATATAAAATTCGTGCAATGCAGCGAGATATATCTTGATTTTAATGTTTTGTTTTATATTTGGGTCTATCAATATTATAATGTTATGTGGTTTTGAGAAAAAGAAAATGTTTTTATTTTTGAATTAAATATAAATTTAAAGATATCATAAAATTCTAAAAAAAATAAGCAATATTAATATTGAATTAACAATTTAAAAGTTCTCGTTTTTATGTAATTTCTTTGATTCAAATTTTTAATATAATTTAATTGAAATTTAAAAACGAATTAATTTATATTTGGCTTAATAATATAATTTTTTATAAGATAATAATTAATTATTTTGTTGGAACTCAATAATTATTCTAATTATATTTTAGATTTTTTATATTTTAAAATGAGATGTGTATTCTCTATTTGATTATGTTTATCCACAATTAGTTACACGAACTCAAATGAAGCTTTAAGAAGTTGTACTTACACACAATTTACTTGTAATATTGAATTTTAAGAAATATGCATCAATAAACAATACTTAATACATAAAAAAATGGTTTTTAAGATTTTTTGTCAAATGTTTTATAATATAATATAAATACAATATATACATATTATGTATATAATTCTAAAAATTTATATGAACTGTTAAACCACTATTTAACTATTTGCAAGAGACCAATTATTATGAATATTAAAAGCTAATGATTGTTAGTGTACTTAAGGTGTGTTTGGTACATATCAGAAATCAATGTTTTACGTTTGACACTTTTTATGTGAAACAGACAGAAATATGGTGGAACAAAGTTGAATAAGCGTGTTCCACCTCCACTCGATAGAACAAGGTGGAACAGATCTATATTTTACTAATATAACCTTAAAATAAAACTTAATTGTTTTCAAACACATCAAAATAAGCCCCCATCTTTACATTTTATTCATTGTTTAAATTTTATTTATTTTATTTTATGATTTTTAAACTTTCACTTTACTATCTACAAAATATTATTTATAATATTTCTATATTTTAGTTAATTTATGTAATTTATAAATATTAATAATAATAAAANATTTTATTATAAAAACATTTATTTTATTATAATTTAATAAATTACATGAATTAATATATATATATATATATATATATATATATATATAATCCATTAGAGATAAATTAATCATTTTTTTTGTTCTGTCTTATCAAACATATAACAGCTGCTCTATCTCGTATTGTTCAGTTGTATATGGATATAAAATGCATCCTTAATGTGTTACATACGATAAGGACTAAAAATGTAATTCACTCTTTGATAAATTGTGTCGAGAAGAATATAAAACGTTTTATGTGACAAAAATGTGTTATTATGATCAATTAGTTTATAATTCAACATAAGAAATTGTAATATTTTAATATATTTATAAGAATTATCATTTTGACTCCGACATTAACTGTTAGTAGGGGTGTAAACAGTACGAGACAATTCGCGAGCTATTCGAGATCGATACGATCAAAGCTCGGTCAACACTCGACTTGAATAGGCTCGACTCGAACTCGAGCTCGACTCAACATATTAACGAGCCGAGTCAAGCTATCCAATACTCGACTCGAAAAACTCTTAAGATACTCGATTATTTTATATATAATTAGTTTTAAAATATAATAAGTTTTTATGATAAAATTTGTAGAATATAAATAATAAAAATGCCTTATATTTTTAGATATTTAAACAAAATTATGCATTTTTTAATAATAAAAATTAATCAATTAATTTTTATTAAAATCACAATTAAAAAAGATCAAATAAAAACTATTAAAAAAAATTCGTGAAATTGTCCCACATTGAAAGAGATATGGTAAAAAAAAGGAGAAAATATGTTATAAAAAGAATGGGAGGTAAATTAATTTTTAACTTTGTCTTTCTAACGATGAAGTTGATCCCTTTAATTTTATAAAAGCTAAAAAAACACCTTTAAGTTTTAAAATTTATAAAAGAAAGACCCTAAAATTTCATAAATTTCAATGGGTGAGCTTGGTTTCGAGCTTGATTTGAGTCCGAGCTTCATTCGAACTTAGTTCGAGCTTGAGAAATAGTTATCGAGTTCGGGCTTGAGAAATTACAACTCGCGAGTTTCCGAGTCGACTTCGAACTTGAAAATTGGGTTTCGAGTTCGAGTCGAGTATAGTGATACTTGAGCTCGACTCGCATCATAGGTTATATTCAATAGTCGTTTTATTAGCCAAAGGTTATTTAAGCTTCTAGATCAACAATGGAATCAACGATTTTGATGCCTTTTCTATTAGATTATCCACAACCAAAACCAAATCTACTCAAGTTCATCTGTGAACACGCAAAAGTACAAGAAATAGCGACCTACATCATAGCTTATATTCGATTCCAACAAATCATGGTATCAAAAATGCTGCTATCTAACGACCTTACCTTCAGCTTCCTCTAGCATCCGACGCACATGTCATTCTCATTTAGTTTCAGTTTTCCGACCGTAAATCTGGCAGCCTCCATACCTCTTTAAACGGAGCAACGATGGCTAAAACAGATGTATGAACATGTTGGCTCTAAATAGGAAGATATGGCCAACTAATAGTCTCGTTTCGTGAGACATTCTGATGCCCTGTGCCCAGATCGTCCACAGTTGAAACAGGCACCCTCGAAGTTCCTACCATTCCACAAACTTATTAAATCCTAGTATTTCGTCAAGTATTAGAGTAATGCTTCACAGAAATCAAACCAAATGGAGCCGGTAAGACAAAAATTAACAGAAACAAGCGAACAAGCTACGGGTGAGAGTGTATGCAAAAGAGCAACAGGTACAGTCAACAGAGAATGCATCAGAGATATATGTGACGAAAATAGGTTAAACAAACAAGAAAAGATATATACCTGTCCCTAGTCCGAGAAGAGCTCCTAGTCCCCAAGGACGGAGAGCGTGAAGATCGTCTTTCACCAATTAGCCAATCACTTCCACCAGTTCTTGCACCTCCTCTGGACCAACTACTGCCGCCACCCCTACCAGCTCGCTTGAAGCTATCTCCATCATCATCAGATGAGTATCGACTGCCGCCACCCCAACCACCACGGGAACCACTGGAACCTCCCCTCCTTGAACCCGCTCCTCGGGAACTTCTCTCCCTGTTAGAAAACCTACCATAAAAGTCACTTGCCGGACCATCATCTTGCAATAAAGGCAACTGCAAATGGTACCCAGTAGGAATCAGCAATGCAATTAATCGAAAAACAGGGATTGTACTGTCTGCAAAACGAAAATGAGTCCACCTTCGTGATTTTTGTAATAGTATTGCCAGGTGGCACGTCCTTAGTTAGTAGCTCCTTGGCAATCTCTTCGGGAAGATCAAAAACTGCTCCCTGGACCTGAATACATAAATAGATGTTACAAAAAGAAGCTGTAGTAAAGGGACATCAGCTCACTTGGATACACACCCTTTCATCCGCAATTATATGTATTTTGCCGAGTTCATCAGCAGCCGTTGCATAAACGTCAGCCAAGAATCCAGTAACGGTTCTAGCTGACATGAACCCTCTCGATAGAGCAGGGTCCCGAGTCAGTTGCAACGTAGACCATCCCTGCAATGCAATCATTCACAATTACCCACCAGAAAATAAAGGAACAAAACCAAGATATAGATGTAGATACACTCATAATAATACATCTAACTCACCTGCTCGTGTGTGATAAGAGAACGGGATGATGGAGGCTTTGAGAAACCGCTCAACTGTGCAAGGGCAGCAGCAAGAGCGCTTGCACCCTGCTCCTCGATTAGCTTTTCTGCAGTTGGAGTGAAGAACTCCACGGACTCCCTATGAACACCAGAGAGGGTAGCAACAACTTGCTGAGCCGAAGACTCCAATACATCTTCCACTGCTGGAGGACTTATAAACTCAAATTTGCATCCCACATCACGCTCAAGGGATTTAACCGTTCTCCTCTGATTATTTGTGAACATCAAAATGGCCGACCCTTCCTTTCCTGCACGTCCAGTTCTACCAGATCGGTGCACAAAAGTCTCTGGATCATTCGGTAGTTCATAGTGGATAACCTGAAAAACGAGAAGGAAAGCCACACATGTCACAGTTGCATCAGGAAAGGTCACTAGATCGAATGGAGCCATAATGCTAAAAGAAACTTACTAAATCGACATTGGGTATATCAAGCCCACGTGACGCAACATCAGTAGCAACAAGCACAGTAAACTTTCCTTGTCTGAATCCATTCAAGGTTCTTTCCCTTTGATGTTGAGATATGTCACCATGCAATGCCTCTGAAGTAATGCTATTAGTCAATGCCAACGAGACCTCATCTGCATCTCTTTTTGTCTGAGTGAAAACAATGGTCTTCCCACCCTTTGCATACACCTAAAATCATCACAAGATTGTAACTGTAAGAGTTTAAACCAACCTAACCTAGCATATCCCATGCAAAAGTAGGGTTTCTGGGCATTCTTATCTTAAGCAGAAGGTCATTTAACCAAAGGACCCTATCTACACGAAAGAGGAGTGATTACTTTCATGAAGACCCGGCTTGTGCATAGGTGGGAGCAAAAAAAAGAGAATAAAAGCTAAACAATTTAAGATTTGACCTTCGATCCGCATAAACATGAAACTATAAGTAAGTCACGTACCGTGACAAGATCACCAAGTATTGTCCGCTTTGAAGTTGAGGTTGTTGGTATAGCATACAGCTTGATACCCTCTGCTAGCTTCTCATCTTGATCACCAACCTTTTAAGTTCAATTAAACAATTTACAGCTACTTTGTCAAAGAACAATAAAGAAAGCACCGAATGCGAGCACATATACATGAGAACACTTGCATTGGCTGATTAAGGTATACAGACATGATTATACCCTCTTCACAAAAACAAATGAAGCATTAAACAAGGAGACATTTGAAAACATTATATAGCACTTCATCTCAAAATAAATGTCCACAATGAAAAAGGCACGTAGTTTTAGAAATGTGTAATTATTACACTTTTTAATCAACCAAATGACAATATTACCCTTGATAATGAATTTCATGATCTCGTAAATAAGGGTAGAATTGGAATGCAGACACTTACTTTTGACTTTTCAAAGTGGACATTTATTTTGGGACAAGTCAAAATAGAAATGTGAAACTTATTTTAGGATGGAAGGAGTATTATACAAGCCAAGAACACAAGAAACTTACCAAATCAATTGTCAAAGGATTGTTCAAATATTTCCTCGATAATTTCTTGACCCAACTAGGCATAGTTGCTGAGAAAAGCATGCTTTGCCTTTCAGATGGAAGCTTCTCTAAGATATGTTCCACGTCTTCCTCAAAACCAACAGCAAGCATTTGATCAGCTTCATCAAGGACCAAAAACTGAACCTCCCCCAGTTTCAGGCTGTTACTTCCAATAAGATCAATAAGTCTTCCTGGCGTGCCAACCACTACATCAACTCCACGAGATAACGCATTTTGCTGTGAATTATAAGAGACACCACCATAGACACAAACAGTGCTCAAATATGGGGCAGACTCTTTGATCTCTGTTTCTACTTGCCTTGCCAATTCCCTCGTGGGTGCAAGGACCAAGACTCTGGGAAGTCGTTGAGCACGCCTTTACATAAAAATATGCATAGAAAACCCCCTTTAGATCCAACATATTATTTGTAAAATATTATAGAAAAAGTACTTGTTTCATGAATACCTGGGAGAAATCCGTTCTTCATCATCTTCTGTGAGTCTTTTGATTATAGGAATTCCAAAAGCTAATGTCTTTCCTGTTCCAGTTTTGGCACGCGCAATAATATCTCTACCTTCGAGTGCAGGGACCAATACAGCTCTCTATATGATTGAAACAAAAGCAAGTTAACGCCATAATGGACTTGATGGAGATGCATATAGAAATCTATAAACATTCTGGGTCTCTCTCTATCTCTCTGATAGATAAGAGAGGGAGGGAAAGAGGTGAAGTACATATATACTTAGGTTAATGCAGAAACTGATAATGATAGAAGGGGTGAGAAAGAGAGGGAGAGAATCTTATCCAAAAATGGTGGCATATTAACATCACAATCAGGCAATAGGGACATGTTTACACTATGACAACAAAATATATATGCAACTAAATACAAGCACCAAAGACAACATACACTTGAAAGGTAATAGAGATAAGCACTAAAGAGGGACCGATATATATATATATATATATATATATATATAGATATAGATACCTTTTCTAGCTAAGCATGTTTAAAAAGAATTGAGCAGGTGATAGAAACTTCCATTTATGCATCATTTCTCAAACCTGATAATACCAGCACAAGACTACTTAAACTGCATCAAAACCCCTCACTTGAAAACTCCAAACCAACTAAAATTTTGATTCTCTTCTATCAGATTTCTGACTAAAGGTACTTTTGGGATGGCTTAGACCTAACCATTGAATTGCATAAACGAAATGAAATTGGGTTAAAGTTTAAACGCTTACAACACCTGCATATACTCACACATCAAATGTATACATGTTAGCATTTACAGATAAGTGATAAGGTTAAATGTTTGAAGTATCATCATTTACACACACACACACACATACATATATATATATATATATATATATACAGAGAGAGAGAGAGAGAGAGGATGAGGAGGAATGAAGAAAGTACTTGGATTGGAAACAGCCTAGTAATTTCTCTTTTTTCTAGAATCTGAACCAGCTTTTGAGGCAAACCCAGTTTGGTAATTGCAAGTTCATCATCGTCAGCAACATTTCCACTACCATCACCTACTGAGGCTTCCTTTTCAGACTCATCATCGTACTCTCTGTCACTATCATCCAAAGAAGAATCTTCATCGAACACACCAAGACCCTTAAACGCCTTCTCACTCAAAACGGAATTCGGCGTGGCAGTCGCCGAGGTAACAAAAGCAGACCCACCACCGACACCTACGCTGTTATGGTTGAGTCTAGCGGCAGCTTTCAAGGAGGTGAAATGGGTTTTATCGGCAGAACGAGGAAGATGTAAGGGTGAAGCAGGGGTGGCGATTTTCCTGGAGAGTTGTTCTAGTGATGGGTTTTTGTGGTATATGGAAGAGACACCTATGTTTGATGAAGAACACGCCATGGCTTCACGAAATTGAGAAAGAGGGAAAAGGGGAAGAAGATTGGGGGATAAGGTGAGAGGTTTATGGAGTTGTATGGTTCTCCAAGACTATCTTGTTGGCCATGGCTAAAACCTCAACAATTTATACCTCCATTTCCTTTGGTTCTTAATGGGATATTTTCTTTTCAAGAATTCTCCAACATTTTTAAATAAAAGAAAGTGATGATATCCTCTTACAAACAATCGTAAAATTGGTATTTACCAAATAGTTTTTTTTTTTTTTTCTATTTTTGAAGTAAAATGCGATTCAAACAAATTTTGTAAAAGAAATTTGAATTCCACCTGCTAAATGTTTACTCGCGTAATACATAAATCTTATTAAAATACATGTCTATTTCAATTTTGACTTGTTTAATGATTTAACTTTGAATGTTCTTTTGTTTGTCAATCTTTTAACAAATATGGGTAAATTTTGTAATTTGCTTAAAGTTGTAGCTGATAGTCAAAGAGGATGGTTGCGCCTCACTAAAGTTGATTCATAAAGGGTAGCAGAGTCTGAAAGATATATCTTCAAGAACCTTTCTTGTCAATTGATAATTCATATATAAAGGGGCTTGTAGCCGGATCTAGCTCACACACAACTCA